TGTATTTGACATGAAAGTTGGGGAGAGTAGCGGTAAACGCTCGAGCACTGCCCGTTTTCATGACAACTACAAGTCTCCGAGGGCAGTGCAGCATGGCGTCGCTTAGCTCAATGACAGTGACACGGACTGGAGAACCTGAAGTTGTGGGTTCACCACCCGTCTAATCTGGAGAGCATAAGTCTCACCTGCCTTAACTGACCGGAAATGCCCCCGGAAAATGCGAGAAATGTGTGCCAGGGTCCTAGCCTCACAGTGGACACAAATGGACGATGCGGAGGCAGAAAAGAGCGGAAATCCCCGGAAAAAGTGACGAATGTGTGCCAGGGTCCTAGCCCCACAGTGGACACACATGGACGATGCGGAGGCAGAAAAGAGCGGAAATCCCCGGAAAAAGTGACGAATGTGTGCCAGGGTCCTAGCCCCCATGTGGACACAGGTGGGACAGGGGGGGAGAAAGGAAAGACCAGGGAAATGTGCCATGGGAAAAACAAATAAAAATAAAAAATAAAATAAAAATAAACAAAACAATTTTTTTACATACATCATTAGTTACATTATCTATTTTAATGCTTAACTTATCTACAATATTATCTAGATTATTAATTACATATGTATGTTAATGTAAATATAAATGTGATGCATAATCTCCTCCCTCCTCCCTCACAGCCCCTACCTTCTCACCTAATAATTAGGTGAGAACTAATAGCTTTATCTTTTAGGTTGCTTAGGTTAATGTAAATATAAGTGTGATGCATACAATCACAGGTTTCCAAGACTGTGTCTCTACCACTGAGCTCAGCAACCACATGCTCCACCTTCCGGGAATCTTGCGGAACAATATTATCTAGATGATTAATCACATATTATGTATGTTAATGTGAATATAAATGTGATGCATAATCTAATAATAATGTAATTAATAATAATAATAAAAACTCAATGTTGTCTGGGGGTGCTGTGAGTGTTGCTTCAAATCCTGCCATCAGTCTGTCACTCTACCCTGAACCAAACAGCCACACGTTTCATTCTCTGCGGAATTACTCTTTAAAGCATTCCTGGAGTTTGAGCACCTGCTGTGTCACCTGCGTGTCTGGACAAATATACAGACGCGACTGAGGGCTGGAGTGGAGAGGGGTCGTATGTGAACTGACAGAAGCCAGTAGGTCCAGAACAGCGTTTCTAAGCTCTGCCTGATCCGACTCACTGTGGACATTTCTCAAAACTGGACATCCAGTCCAAACAGAAGGTAATAAGTAATGGACGACCAACGCCGGAGCCAAAAGGTTTGCTCCAAACTACGGGGCAGAAGAGTTGATCTTTTCAATTGGAGTGGTACAAATGAAAACACTGGCTGTGTGGCTGTCCTGCAAGAAACCACATTTACTGCTTTCCTTGCCTTTTATTCTGATCAGGTGATAACGTCTGAACTAACTCGTGGAAATTTAAGGATCAATTTGGCATTGGATGAGCAACGGAGACTAAACATTAGCGTCCACAATGCAAAGGTGAGGGAAAACCGAGGGCTACACCCATGGACTTTATCTATAAGTAAAGGTAAGGCTAAAAATTGTTTTAAGTTTTGTTTTTTTTTTTGTTTATTTTAATAAACTACATAATGGCCTTTGTTTGTAACACAGTCGTGGCTTCTTCAGTGCTAATGCTAACACCGCAATGTAATAAAGACCACCTACATTTTCTTCATCTCTTTTTTTTGTTTAGATAAGGACAACAGTCACTGGATGCTTTATTCAACCACACAATAATACTCTGGAAACACCACTTCAACTCACCTGGCCTCAAACTTGGTGGAAGCTGTGGTCACTTCCATCGCCTCCTGCCATAACCACCTACAACACAGACACAATTGCAAGGTTCCAGGTCACTCTTGATCTACTAGGATACACATTGCACGGTGACAAATTCATCTTCACGTGATCCATGATTGGAGAAATGGCGGCGTGGAGAGTTCACCGGTCTCTCGGTTTTAAAAGTCTTGATGTGATCCAGAGTCAAAGAGCGTTTAGAGACAACACATGGCACTCAGTCATTTCAACATCATCAGTCCACGTCTTGGATTCCAAAACAAACATTAAATAATAATTTCATTTTTACTCCACTCTATCTATTTTATTTCTCATAACTGTGGAAAAACAAACAAAGATCAACAAACAAACACCACAATGGCATCGTGTTATAAAAGGCCTCATTTATTATTCATTTATTCGTCAGCATATTTGTTAATAAAACATCTGCCAAAAAAAAACAACAAAAAAAAAAAAAAACAATCCTCAATCTACTTCCTGCTTTTTACGGGTAAATGCGACCAAGTTCATTTTAAAGCACAGAAGCATCAATGTACTTTCTTTGCATAGACCTCACCACTGTTCCTTGCCTTCACACTCTTGCACACACTCCCGCAAAACACGCACACAGAGAGCTCAACCAGCCTTGAAAGAAGCACGCTCATTATTGACCCTATTTAATTAGCGACCCTCCAGACTCCAGGGTTTACTTACCTTCGCTGCCTACCGTGTTTACACGCGTGACTGATCTCATGCTGACTGTGACAGCTGTGACTCTGCTGCACTTACAGAAACACTTCAAAGAGCCAACATTAACCAATACAATCTCTACCTATCAGCATTTCTTATCGACCCCCAGTATTGTATCTACAAGTCAAAAAAGTTATTTCAAAAATACCGCCTTGCTGATTTCATCTGTCTAAATTGAGTAATAATGCTCTGCTTTAACTACTCATCTCTTCTGCACATAAAATGAATAAATTGCTCACCATAATGTAACATTTATTCCTCGTGTGAACTTCAATGCGAGCGTTTATTTACACAATCAATCTCTTCTAAAGATAAAAAAAATGCCCAAAACACATTATGCAATGTGTTTTGTCAGATCCTGGCTCAAATTAAAAAAAGCCTTTATTCAGTCTATTCTGTGATTAGGTGGAGCCTAGATCATGGACACAGGGGGAAACAAGTAGTTTTATTCAAATCAGACAAATGGAGAATTAAAACCATCTTCTATTATGATAATGCCATCAAACCATTCTGTATTAAACCAGGGGTCTCAAACTCCTGAACCTTAGGTCACCACCAGCTCCTGATCCAACAGTCTCTGGCCTGAACGTGATGTTGAATGCTAATAGATTTTTTTTTTCTGTGCCAGTCATCCAATCGGAACAATTTCCATTGAATCGTGGTGGGCTTTGAAGAAGAGTCTGCCGAATGCACAGTTGTAATGTAATGAAAAGTGGCTGCATGTGGGGTCAAAGGTCAAAAATCAGCTTATCTTATCATATAAACAGTGGATATAAAAGTCTAAAATGCCAGATTTGTAGGACGTAAAACAATGAGTCCTACAGGACTACTTCAATGTGACGTGTAATACTTGAGTCTCACTTATAAAACAAGAAAAAATATTTGAGAAGGTGAATAATAAATAAAACTGAAATTTTGGTCTGAAATTTTAAACCTCATATTAAAATATAATTTTAAAACATCTGACACTGAAAACACCCCAATGTAGTGAGGCTGTTGTAGGTACATTTGTATGTTTCAAATTGTACAAATCATGTCTTTTGTAATTATAAACAACACCTGAAGGATTGCTCTAAATTTGTGAAAAGACAAGAATAAGCTGCTGTTCAAGGAGGCAACAAGAAGAGAATGGATTTAGATTTAACATCATCTATGGCTGGTGTACGTTTGCAAAAATTGATATAAATTTTCTCAAAAGCAGGTAAGGACATGTATAGTTTCAGTTTTTACATATTCTTTATGTGCAAGAAGTTATCTTGTGTCCTTAAGTCTAAAAATAATACGCAGCAAAAGCAGATGTGCAAATCATCAAAACACCTTCACACCTACCATGAAGACTGCTGGCTTACAGGACCTGCAGCTGGAACAGGGGTTTATTCAGAGGAGAGGGAATAAGAATAAACTTTAAATGTCACTTTTTGGCCCCAGATGTAGCAATAGAAAGCAGGTCATCCAAACAGCCAAAATGCACCCAAACTTGGGAAATAATGTGCTCAATTAAATTTCTTTGATGGAACAGACCTTTTTTGTTTAGAAGAAATTCAAAGTCTCTGCTGTGACCTGAAGAGGTCTCAGCCCAGGAGACACTGTGTGTGTAACTAAAAAGATGTTTTTGACCAAAGAACCAGGTGGAGAGTGTGTGTTTACTCATGCGACCACGTTACTTCAGCTTATACTCAATTTAAAAGTAATACTTAAAAAACATTTATTTATCCTATTATTTTACATAATAGTACTTTAGCACAGATGTGTAGACTTTTATATCCACTCTCAGTATAATGTAGTATTATGTATGATTGGATGATATTTGAAATATATATANTTGCTGAAATCCCCACGTAGTTTTTCTGTGAATGTATCCAAAATAGACGATTGGGTTTAAGTCTACATTCTTTTCTTCCCCGATGTTTGATTTTTCAAAGACAATGAGTGTGTCAGTGTGACAATCTCAGTTTTTTTTCCCATGTCTGCAGCCCATGTGTTTGAAGCATGGTTTAGTTCAGTGCCTTTTTCCTGAGCAGTCAGAAGTCAGTGCCTGTCAGGTGGTGTATTTGAGTTTGGATGTCTGTGAGTGACACGAAATACTGGACAGTGAAGGAATCCCGGTGTTAGCTGTGGAGCCTTGATTCTCTACAAACATCGGGTCCAGACAAGCAACCTTGGCAGCGAAAAAGGCGTGGATACAGTGAAGCACGGCAAAGAGGTTGGAGAACTCCAGCTCCTTGGGGAAAAAGTGATGAAAAACCAATATTAAAACATTATTAAAACTTTTTTTAAATTATTATTTACTTTTTGTCATTTGGAGTTTTTGTGTGTGTGGTACCTTTGCTTCGATGGACTTGGAGTCTTGATTTTGGAATAAAAACTTGATCTTGCTTTTTCCGTCATCTGATGATCCTTTGAGTTGAGAGAACTTGTATCTCCACAGCACGGCCTGGAGGTCAGGGGTTACAGCGATTAGGGCAAATTTGTTACAGAGATTGAGAGAAAAATATGGCTTCTCATTATATATATAGGTATATTTTGGTACATACACACATAGAATAGTTATGACATATCATGATTATAATTAATCACAATTTAACATAATTGATCAAATAACAGCAGATAGATATATGTGCTTCAAAATGTTTTTTCATCCAAATGATATAATTATTTTTAAATGGACAATTGAAATATGCAAATGTCTCAAAAGTATAACTGTAAAGTAGGCCTAACTGAGTTGGTGAATTTTAGTCACTACCATGTTAAAAAATATCCACTTAAAATTGTATTCCAATTAAATTAAGTGCAAACTGTGGGTTAATGTTGACAGCCCTGTATATACAGTTATATATTAAAAATGTGTATGTAAGTCACAGTACTCTGATGCAAAGTAATGTCTTTATCTCCACTATTTTTTTTATATTTTAGCTGATTTGGCCTAAGATGGACATTCCAGTCATTTGTTTATTACTTCTTACTTACTACTTGACATCTGGTGCACTCATCTGATTAAAGCTGCTACTGCAAATACAATATCAATATCAGATATAGTGTGGCACATAATACTTAAATCAAAGATCTGCTAACTGTATTTCTGTGTCTTGGTTTTTTTGAGACACAAAAATAGTGATAAAATGTTCCTCATTTTTATTCTTTCCATCTTGATCTGCTCACAACATTTACACTGCTGTGTTTATGTTCCACTGCAGCAAAATCTTTCCTCGTAAGACATAATAGCCAGACCTCTTTTATGGTCCTTTTTTTATTTCAGGCTTCAGCTTCCAGATTCTGCATTTATCTTTATGTTTTCTGTCTAGCTTTCTCACGTTTATATATTTTTTCTCTCAGTTACTTTGTGATGTGAAGGATGGAACTCTTCCCGTTCTGACACTCACGTGGTATAAAAACAATCATCATTTTTCAGAGACTACATAAATTTGTTTGTCGACACACGGTAAAAAAAAAAAATAATAAAAAAAATTGCACAGATGTACAGATCGTACAATAAAAACACTTTTATTACTTAATGTTTTTGCTTCTCCTAGTCATGACTAGACATATTAGTCCATTTTCACCCTGTCTTCAAAATCATGTTGGATAAAATGTTGGTCAGGCAACACTGACCACTTTCATATGCTGTCCTCTTTAGTGTGCTGCAGGCAAAGTACACTTTGTTGAGCCATGAACCATATATAAGAAAAGACGACAGCAGTCAACGACAAGCTGTGGATTGTGGAAAGTGAAGCACTGACGATTTAGGAAGTACTTGTACGTACCACTACTGCTACTTTTATTATTTGACATCCATAGATATTTTAATTTCTGAATCAATCTTTTTTTTTAACATTTAAATCTACGAAAGAGTATTAGGAATACATTGCGGACAAAGTTTCATTTCTAAAATTACAAGACTAAAGTATCAAGTTGTTACCACCACGGAGGATGGAGAATCTTGTGAAGTTATACTTCAGCATTGGATTCACAAATGAAGTGATGCTTTACTTTCTATTACATCAGCATCACACATGTAAAAAGAAGATTAGTATTATCATAATCCTACAACTTTCTTTTCCTACCACTACAACATTTTGTGAGGAAAGCATCAAGATAACGTCTTCATTCATTTCACAGCCACACTGCACACAGAGTCAATGCAAAACTGCAATGTTGCACAAGCCAACTGCACAAGCAGTTTGTCCTCCTTGTTCCTGTTGTCCTTCATGGAAACTTAGACAAACAGGTAGAGTTGCATCAAGAAGGTCATCTGACCAAATGTGATTTATCAGCCAAAAGTGATTTTGTGTGTATTTGATATCCCCCCCACATCATCACCCTCATTGTTTGTGATCCGTGGTCTGATTCTATCACGGAGCTGCTGCAGCTGAAATTCCCTGAAGAAACTTCCCTGAGGGATTATTAAAGTTCCTATTTAATCTAATCCAGATATTTTAGAGCTGTGGAGTTTATTGCTGAACATGCACTCACCTGCAGCTAGATATTGTTCTCCTCTATGCCTTCATGTGCTACTGAGCATCGTGGACTTGCTTTTAATATGCTGGCTTTGTTTTCCACTTTGACAACGGTTCAAATTAAGATTGATTTTTCAAAGAGTTTTCCACAGGTTTTGTACAAAAAAACTCTAGCTGTGAGGCATGTTACCTGATCCTGAGCCAGCAGATTACAGCTCAACATGTTGTACTTATGCCGTGTTCCATTAAAAGTAAGTGGTTCAGATTTGTCAATGACAGCTTTTAATTATGGAGTCATCTCAGCTGCGGCCGTTTATATATGCATTGCATGTTTTTACTGTCTTTGGAGATGGGGGGGTGGGGGGACTTTGGTGCTTCACTCTGCAGAAAATAGTGCCAAAATCTTACACAGCAATATGGTAACGCTTGTGTGCCCCACTCAACCACACAATAGTGGTGTCCCAGTTCAGTCTAAATGGGATGGTGTAGCCTATGGGATATATAAAAATGGTGTCACCAGCTGCTCCCTCTTAATCATACACCATTTGCCGATGAAGATATTTTGCAACAGATACGCCGCTATTTCTAGCATGTGCTGCACTTTTTAAGATTTCCACTTCCTGAAATGGCAATAATGGAAATAGTTGTTTGAATTTTTTTTTTCATAGCCTTTAACGGAGACAATAAGCTTGGCTCGTATTTTAGTCCAAGACTGCAGCAGGATAGGCAGATAAGCTGCAGACCCAAAAGGGTGACAAGGTTTATGTGCAGTTTTGAAGTGCTTTGCCCTGTTGTGTGGAGAAAGGCCAATATTAACTCTGAGCTGAGGAGCAAAAATACTGTATATGTGCTTATACCATAAAAATGCACAGGTATGATGTGTGTGTGTGTTTGTTTATGTGAGCTTCATTCGATTCCACTGAAATCATCCATTTCTCTCTCGGTTCTTGTGCTGTTCCCTGTTTTTGGCAGAACGGACACAGTAATTATGTGCACTGTTACCTACCAACACTAGGAAGTCACTGCTCCAAACCAAGTAAGACAGGCAGGCTGCAGCTCACTCACCTTTGAGGCTGCATCAAAGCACACGAAGCCCATACTGAAGTCGATGGTCAGACCCATGAGGTGGCTGTCCATGATGCAGGCATATGTTTTACTCTGCAATTAAAAAAAAGCAACAACGTCACACATGAGCATTTTCAATCGAATCCTTGCGCATTGTTTGACATTCATAATGCCGACCTGGATTCTCTCCACCTCCAGGAAGGTGGCCATCTGAAAGGCTTTTTCCCAGATCAGCAGCTCACATTCCAGCTCCACACTGAAGAACATGTCCTCCCCTGTCTCCGTCTGGACGCTGAAGCAGTGCTTCCTCTTGTCCAGAAGGTCATTGTCCTGAGATCGGAAAGTCGGAAAGATCAGACGCCATAGGACACACTGATCTAAAAGTAGAATCTTAATCCAGGTTTATTTTAGGCGCAGACAAGGCAGAGAACAAATATTACAGCGCTGTAAAACCTGCCTTTCTTTGATAAAGTTATTACCTGCAGAACAAACTTATATTCTTGTTTTAGACTCTCTTCTAACATTTAGAAAGAACAACAGATGGTTTACCTTCAAAATCTTGCACATAATCTCATACACTGTAAAGCTCTTCTCCGCTCTGGTCCAGTCCCACGTCGTCACCTGAAAATATCACACATGCAACGACATTTGTTTTGGAGCACATCAGCAGCAGCTGCCCTTTGAAACAGTGTTTGTGGATCTGTCGGAGTAAATATACAGTTGACTGTTTGCTGAGCGCCCGTGTTTCTGGTACTACACCCTTGTCTTTTAGAGTGATGGAGTCGAGAGGTTAAAGTACCGGCAACTCGCTCATCAGTTGTCCACAGCTTTAGTTGTAGCTATTGGCTGTTGTCCTGTGATGATGCTGTTGATTGATGATATATTTACTATATATATTTGATATATAGTAGTATCAAACTGCAGTATTTATATTTAGTTATACACAAAATTGTGTATATGTCGGAAGAAACTGGGTAAAAAAAATTAAAAACTTACACATTTGTATTGTAGTTTTGTAGCACACGCTAAAATTCGCCTGCTGTTTGATCAATTTGTTTTTTGCAGAGCCTGCAGCAGATTATTGCGTCCTCAGACCCTAATTACATGATGCTGCTAAATATTTTTCAAAGACATGAATAGCTGAGAGTCACCTGAGCCTTAAAACACAGAAGTGTAATTTAATATGGACAGCATAAAATATGCAGCTAAATATAACACCCCCCCCCCCCCCCACTCTAACCTTCATGAATATGTAAAAGGTTTTGGCCAAGATATTTTACAGCTCAGTTTTTGCCCCTGTACTTCTAAGATTAAAAGATAATCGTGATCATGTTTGTTTGTTAAAAATAAAAAGAGAGTGTGCAGCCCGAGGTGAAGCCTGGGACATCTAATAATTATTTATAACTTTAATTATATCTAAATGTATTTTATGGAGACAGAACACGTGCTGACCCAAAAACATTAAAATATTTGTGGTCAAAATTTTATTTTAATTTTTAAAAAATCTAAATGTGGCTATATGTTGCCAATTATATATACCAGGAGGGAGTTTTGAATTTACTGTAGGTAAGATAATTAGGACACATTTTTAATTTTACACTTTACCTGAGGCAAACATCCATTAGCTGGGTAAAAAGCTGTAAGTGCAGCATTTTTACCAGAACTTTTTGGTTAATAACTACTTTAGCGGATAGCCACCCATATAGTTATATTGATTACACGGCCTACGAACTATAAAGAAAAGACATACAGGTCTTCTAAGGCAGAATTTCCCAACCTTCTTTTGAGCCATGGCACTAATACAACATAATATTTTAGTTCAAATGTACTCACAATTTACTGAGTGTGCAATGTCTGCCTGTTTAGTTGAAGGCAACACTGATGTACTTGCAGGAATTGAAGAAACAAAGATCTTATTCAACAGCTCTTTTTTAGTTTTTGTACTCATCTGCTGCCATCTGGTGGAGGAGTATTTAATTGTGCTGTCTGTCACTATGCATTGACAAACAAAGAAAATTTGCAATAATAGTTTCGGACCAATTAGGTGAAATTGAATTTTGGCGTGCCACAGCCCAGTGGTTGTGACCAGCATAATCCAAAGATTCTAAAAAGAGAAAAAAAAAAAGGAAAGACAGGATCTCTAGCTGTGCTGAGCAGTTCAGCCAGTGGGGCTCTGAAAAGAAGAAGAGTAGTAGTACTTGTTACAGCTCTACTTTACTGAAAGGCACCAAATGTGGGTCAGACAAGACTTACTGGTCCATCAATGAATTAAGTTTAAATTAGAGTTTGGCCACATTCTTTATACAACCTGAAGTCTGAATTTGAGGTAAAAATGAATACTTGCTAATAATATTATTTTTAGCAAGTATTTAAGTAAGGGAGTACCTGTCAAACCCTGTGTTTCTCCTCCAGGTCTCCTTCTTTCTAAAGTCAGCATTGGAGATATTGCGCTCTCATCCATGTGTTATTACACACCAAGACCAATTTCTTGCTCTTTGTCCACAGGCGTGACATTGTTTTGATTAGATATATTAAAATAAAGTGGAGTCGTCTCCTATAATAAATACGCTGCTCTCAGCGTCTCCACATCAAACTCATATTTCCCCCGTCCCCTCACATTAACATATTCAATTCATATCAGCACATTCAGGATGAGCAGGCAAATCCTGTTCTCTATCAATCTCTTTCCATCCACTACCATCGACAGCTTATGTCTCTTGTCATAATCACTTAAGCTGCTGGCAGAATGTAAACACATTTAATGATCATCATCAATCAACGGCAGGATCAATGGAGCACGAATGATTATGAGTGAGCAGCTTCCTTCATATTCCACCAGGAAAACTGTTTCTGCCTCAACAATACACAAACACAGAGTGAAGAATCTCCTCCCAAGGCTGCGTTCATAAATTCAAACACTGACGCTTTGAAAGGTCTCAGGAACATGGCAGCGGCCGCAGCTAAATGAAGATGTAGAACTTACCGGAGGGGCGGAGAACTTGAACAATGAGGAACCCCTCAAAGCGAGGAACTTTGGTGAGTACATCTGGTCGTGGAGGGAGTCCTGCTCCTTCTCGTCAGCCCAGCCCATGTAGACAATCTGTTCAGAACACGGAAAAATGATAAGTAGTGTAAAAAAAAAGGTTATGATTTATTAACCAAAATCATCAACCAGAGTCATCACATCTCATGCTTTGAGCTGTGTTGAGTTTTATTTCACCAGAACAATTTCCAGTTCAGAACAAATATATATTTTTAACTAAACTCAACGAGAGTTTTTTTCCCCCCAGATCTGAAAGAACATTTGAAAGGAATGTGTTTTAAGTTCTTAGACGATGCAAAATAGGTTTCACAATTCTACAAAGAAGGAATTCTCTGATGGAATAACAAGTTGAAGAAGTGTTTTGCCTTGAAAGGTTCATAGGGTGGAAATAGATTATTTTCAGAAATTTAGATTTTTTTTGTCAATGGTCTTCGAACTTCAAACAAACCCTTATGCAGAGGCAGAGCAATATTTAGGTCCATTCTTAAAGATAAAAAAATAAATGATATGATTGTTTTTAAAGTACTACCGTGTGTACTTGACAGACACCAGTGAGAACTCGTGAATAATCAACAGTAAATGAACTGTCAAAGGAATACAAATATGAAAGAAACAAACGCACCCCACACCTCACAACCATGCATCTTACTGTAATAAAAATGACAGCCGCTGAAAACACTAGCCTCAGGCAGCAAAACACAGATGTCAAAAAAACTCTCAATTAAAACCCCCCCTCTGAAGTGAGGAATTAACAATTTTAATGTGTCAAACTGCTGTTAACAAACAATTTTACACACACAAGTGCTGACAGTAGGGCTGCCAAGTGATTAGAATTTCAATCTAATTTATTCCATTTTACGTAACCGATTAATCCAGACTAACACGGGTTGGGCGGAGTTTCTGGCTTGGTGGCCCGACAAGATATGCAGACAAATGGAGCTGAGGGGAAAGTAAGGAGAGAGGATGGAGAAAAGATTAAAAAAATGGCAGAAAATTAGAAACTCTGATGACATCTGATAATCCTCGCAACTAATTTAGAGATGCCTTGCTTTACTGGTTTATTGACACGTTTGGGAGCCCAGTAGCTCCCTCTGGATGTAACGATCAGATGTGCAGTCTGTTTGAACAAAACAGATAGTTGATAAAGCTTTAGGATCCATTCAACTTTGGTGAATCTCAAAACTCAGTTGAGTCCGGCCGCGGTGCAGTAACACTCACACTCACTAACACTTTAACGTACGCCTCAGGTTATTACTGTCGGACGTTGACATGACAATGATCAAGACCCAGGTTTGCTGTTGACTGCCTGAGGCTCTCTTTTAAATTTTCACATAATCTTCCTTTATTGTTTTTTTTTTTCATTTCTGTCTGGACAGCAGCTTCCCCCTGAAGACGTTTTTTGGGTTCAATGTCCCTCCTTCTCAAAAGTTATACTTTTGTTTCATTTGACCAAAGGTCAAGCCGCCAGTACAGTATGTACCGACTTTTTAGAGTTGTTCTAGCAAACGTCAGTGTGGCTCAGATGTGATTTTTCAGCAGAAGCGAGAAAAAGAAGAGTTGTTTTTTTTTTTCGTTTTTCTCGGAGCTACAGCCTTGACCTCTCTTTATGACTGGACGTCATCATTCATAGAGAATCTTCTCTGTTTCTGTTAGCATCTCAGTCTTTTTGAACTCATGCGTCATTTATCCTACTAAGTTTCTTAACTTTTTAAGGCATTTTTATCCTTTTCACAACACAGCTTGCTTTTTTTTTGCATAAGTCAAAGTTTATTAAGCATTTTCAAATACATTTTTGACATTTTAATTTACGATACTTTGATTTTTGTTTTTAAACATAGTACACTGCCGCATGCTCATTTTAGAGCATAATGGGGATTTTTTTTTATTTATTGCAAGTCATGGTACAGTAAGATTTTTCTGGTCATTTCTTCTGGTCAGTTTTTATATCACACCATCGTTTGAAGGCATTTGGGGATTTTTCATTTATTAAATTTTTTCTGCAGTCAAGTCTAGTATAGTTAGGCATTTCCGGACCTTTTTCAATTATGGTTATGAATTTATACAGTTTTTAACCAAATTTTAATGCAAATTAAAAAAGAAAACATTTTAAGGGATTTCCAATTTTGGGGATATTTAATTTAGGCTCAGAGCCTTAAGTCTTAAATGAAGTCACTATGCCAAAATATAATTCACTTATTTTTACAGTTTCAAGCATCTCTATGTAATCATTGGTCCTACCAGAGCTGAATAAATAGGACATTTAAAAAAAACAAGATTGTGCAGAAATGCTTTGTTAAAAATTCTCTGCTCTGTATAAAAGCACTGGGGAGAGAACATATCTCTCAGGGGAGCTGATAAATTTGTACTCGACTAGAGACGGCAGAGCTGCTCGAGTGAAAAACTTTTAAACTCGCTGCACGTGGAAGCTGTGAATCCTTAATGCGACAGCCTCAGCTGCCATGCAAATGACAAAAAGGAAGTAGTGTCAAAGTCTTAACCAAAAAAATAAAATAAAAAAATTGCCAAATAATCAGGTTACACAAAGGCCACCACCGCATGAAGCCTTATTTTAAATTTCCATTCACTCTGTTGACATCACATTGGTTTTGATTATGAATTGAAAAACTGAAGTGTAAAGAAACACAGTGTTGCAAAATTAAATCATTCGTGTGATTCAAAATCACCAACAAAGACACTGTGAGGATGTGTGATGTTAAAGGGAAATGAACAAAGAGTGAGTCGTTTTTTTTTGTTCTTAATTGGTTACACAGTCACGGGAGGCTGGAACCAATCCCAGCAGTAATTGGTGTGGGTGGGCTACATCATGGACAGCGCTCCATTCACACCAGGGGATAATTTAGATTGAAACCTAATCCTGCATGTTTTTGGACTGTGGACCTGTTACCATAGCTACCTTTAGGATTTGAACTGGTGACCCTCTTGCTTTAAGGCAAGTGCAATAACTACTCTTTCACCACATGGCCCGTGTAAAGTTGCTGACAACTCTTAATAAAAGCTTTAAAAATGTTAGATAGCAGTGTGCGAGTATAGGTTTGAGGGCATGTGTGTATTTTTACATCCCTCTCTCTGTCAGGCATGGTGAAGATATATCAAGGAGATAAAGCTGAGAGCCATAACTGCTGCTAACGTTACTTTCTGAAACGTGATTTAAGACCCTTAAGAGTTTACCAACCATCGTGTCTCCATAAAGTTAGGGGAAAATTGTGAGGTTGAATTTGTGTTTTGAGCTATTTGATGGATTTGCAAAATGAGTCAGTGAAAGATTGGGGGCAGGCTGTCGCATCTCCTGCCGTTTAATTACTCACATAAATTGTCTGTGGAAAAGTCAGATATTTTTGTATTGCTGGAGCAAAAAAAAAAAAAAAGAAAAAGTAGCGTGGAAGTGGATAAAAGGGAGTTCCAGTGGTGAGACCATGCTCTGTGTGTTAACTCAGACACACCACAGAGAGGAGAGCACTTAAGTCATTTTCTGATCAGATCTCTCACCACATAGGCTTTAATGATGCAAAAACTCTCCTGGTGCTGCAACGGTGCCGTTTCATTCGCTAGGATTTTATTCAGACTTTGTAAACGCGCCTGCAGCAAGATAAATAAATAAATACCATCTTACCTGCTGGTTGACTGGGAAATTCCTGTTAATCTTCTTCACCTGTTTTAAGTTAAAAGAAAATTCAGTCATTAAGTCATTAAAAACACAGCAGAGGAGAACAGGCACCGATCACTGTTTGAAATAAAAGTACTTTGAGGACCCTGCTGAGACGAGCAAGCGGTGTAGCGAATGGTGTAGGAAGAATTGAAGTATGACTCACTGCTTTTGCACTAACATGTTAACCACGCTGCTGGAATAAAAAAAAAAGAAAGAAAAATGACAATGCATGCAAATGACAAAATGGGACAGATACAATAATTACTACTAGGACCTTAGGTCCTTCTTAAAATAATCCATTAGAGGAATCTATTCAGTGTGGTAATAAAGGCAGGAAGAAGTACCCAGAGAGCAGTCAGGCTTTAAATTAAAGCATTATGCTCAGATCGCAGGTATCACTCACAACTATTAATACAACTTTCTCTTACAGGAGCTGAAAACCAAATGAAACAGTCCAGGTCTGAGCCTGAATCTTATATGGAGGTAAAAACCGAATCTGTGCTGCTTGTTGTGAAAAGTTACTGAAGTTTGTAGGGAGAGAAACAGAAAACAGGTTTTTGTTTTTGAGCTGCAGGAGGCGTCGAGGAGAAGCGGGCCGATAACGGCAGACATATGAGCTGAATTTAGAAATACAGGCGCGGTGACACCGGGTTTGTTCAGGTTCAGCTCTGAGTTGTAGTGACCAGCCACAGCTTACTGCCGCTGTGACATAAATAAAGAATGGCTGGGGTTCAGCTCTTCAGGTAATAAAACAAAACACATATTTCTGCCCCCTCTCTAAAAATACATGTGAATAAACTAAGAGGCCCTGGATCAACCCGGTCTACAGCTTAGAGATGTTGTAAATTTAATTCACACGCATCGATATCTTTTATTAAACATTCTCTTTATCACTTCCAGCCTTCCTAAAAATTAGCCTGTTCCTATGTCTGTCTTGTCTTCACTTGCGCCCCTTGCGTTTTGATAACCTGCATTGTTTGCCTTTTGCAAATCTGATCTTTTTTTTTTTCAGTTTTTTGCATTCCTAGATTTTGGATTTTTAATAAATATTTATTATAATATTTATTAAAAAAGTAACATTTCTGTTCTACGCTCTTAGTGTAGCAAAAACGAAATTACACAAAAAAACTCACAATATTTTCAATCAGCAGAATAAAAGAAAAACATTTACATTATATATACTTTTGTTGTCTTTCCTGATTTTTGATACAGTATATACTCAAACAATTTAAATAAATCTTGAAGTCCAATGAATTTCCACAGTTGCGCTCCATGTCCGCTGTTGGGCCCACGTAACACCATTTAAACAACGTGTAGCACTGGTAGTCACTACGGCTTAAGATGAGCAGTGATCACACACCAAAGCTCACTGAGAGTGAGGGAGAGAAGTGTTAAATGTTGCTAAAGAACAGTCTTGAAAAGTCGCCACGTAATTGAATTTGTGTCTGAGCAGAAACGGTTCGGACTGAGCTTTATTGGAAAAGGCTGGAAACTGGAAACGAAGCTGCTGCTTTAACACTTGTGCTCCAGCCCGAGGCACAGAGTCACGTAAGCCGACACATGGAGCATTAATAAAACTAATGAGTCATAGGTGTGAGTCAACCTTAAGCATACTTGGATTGAATGGATTCTGAGTCACACTAGAAGAAGGCCAAAGGCAGCATTCAGCTCCTGTATGGGCCGCTCTGCTGTGTCGCTGACAAGTGGGAGCTGTTAGAGCCAATGAAGCAACACTTCCCTTCATAATGTTCCCATCTTGCTTTCAATGACGCCTTTAAATGCACCGCTAAACAAACTCATGAGTAGTTCCATGAAAGTCGGGGTGTCCACCCGAGTTACCGGAGCTGAACATCCACGGATCTTTGTCTGTGTTTGTGGAGTTCTAAAAGCTCAGCTTAGCTTTCTGCCTCCATTATTTCCACCTTAGATAACTGAGGGTTTTTCCTTTATGATGAATCAAGCAACATTCATTCATCTTCCACTTCATTCTATTAAGGGTAGCAGGGGGAGTTGGAGCCAGTCCCAGCTGGGATCAGGTTAAAGGCAGGGTGATGTGAGGACAAGGCACTGGCCCATAACAGACACGGTCACAGATGCGTAACAGAGACACCCGTTCACACTTACTTTCACACTTGGATTCACACCTCACGGTTAAATTAACCACCAGTTAACCCTAATTTCCAACTGAATATCTTTTGAGTGTCAATTTAAAGCAAATGAAAACAGCTTCAAAACGTCACATCAAGGGCAGTGGTACCAGGTGGGCAGCAAAATACTGTATCTGGGAGTATTTTACCTTCTGCTGTGCAGCAAGACTTGTGTGTTGTTAATTAATTAAGTTGCACTAATAATAATTCTGTAATTATTGAATGAGCTGTTGAACGTTTCCCTCCTTGACTGCTCTCTCTTTAGAAATGCAATTCTTTTTTTTTTACTGCAGCTTTACCATCCTATTAGTAAAACGTTATTTATTTGTTGAGGCAATTTTCTTATTTTTAATGAATCTATTTATTAAAACTCTATGCCTCAAAAATGTCACATATAATAATACATTTTTATTGTTGTTTTCCTGAGCTCCTTCTGTTTTGTTTTGTTTTGTTTTTTTTCAGGCCATTCTGGGACTCTGACTCATCTGCAACACAATCAATCAAATCAATCACTTCATTCTTCCGAGAACAGCAGTCACTGGAGCAGCAGTGAATCGCAGATGCAACAACAGATTCATGCACTTTAGTTATAATGAATCCAAACAAAATTGCAAGACTTCTTTTTGTATAAACAGAACATTTCTTCTGTATTCATCCAAAAAAAAAATTGACGACTGGCAGGATATTTAAGTCAGAACAAAAACGGTAACCTGAAAATTTAATAATTTTCCTTTGTTTGACAAAAACTTTTACGTGGTTGTCAAAGTAGACAAAGAAGACTTCTTTGTGTTTTTTTTTTTTTTTTACTCTTGGACTTTTCGTTTCATCAGGCCACTTTGAGGTTTATTGTGAGAAAAGCAGTCATTCACTCATTCAATTTAATGAATGACATCTTACAACTACATATATATATATATATAAATATATATATGTTAAGCTTGTTTAATCAAATCACTAAAAAATGATTTCACCCACAGCAGACTGGAACTACAGACATCAAAAGGCCTTAAGATTACAACCTTCAAGGTCAGCGTCCCTTTAACAATACCTAATAATAGAATAATAATAAAAAACATGATCAATAATTAAAATAACTCTAATACTACTAATAATAATAATACATTTTCAACCGGCTCACTTTTTCTGAAAACTCTAAAGAAAACTCTGTAATCGTCCTGCAGAATGTTCTTGTCTAAATCGACTGAAGGTTTTATAAAGGTGACTTTTGTGTCGCAACAAATTGCAAGATTATCTTCCAGACAGACTCAATAAAATAAAAGCCTCCAATCTTGTTGTTATCATCCAACGTAAAATCCTCCGATCAGAACATTTCGGCCGAGGTAACAGTGTGGAATCACAGACGAGAATGATTCAGATCTTCACAAGTGGTTCTTGGAACTAAGACTCCTCGGCCCTGCACGGTAGAGTCGGAGCTTCAGGTGCTTTTTTTTCAGGTTAGGATTAATAAACCACTCTATGGACCATCTGGCTGAGTGTTTATACACTATGTGTTCTTGCTACCTTTTCCTCAGAGAGTTGAAAGCTGGCAGGAAGTACAGAAAGAGTTCCCTGTTCCCTCTTTTGGCGAGGACTAAAGCAGCTCCTCTATCAGACTCTATTCATTTTTCTCCTTGTGTTCCTTTTACTGAGATCATATAACGAGCAGGAGAACGTGTTTAGGTGTTGACGCGGTACTTAACAGTAACGTAGGAGGGAAAAATACGACATCTATTTAACACATCAGCATTAGAAACTGCATCTACTCTTTGATACAACGGTCATTCATAAAACAAGAGAGACATATACCATCAGCTGTGGCTACTACTTCTATCAGTATGTACATACTGACTGTATGTTTAGTATAGCCCTCACTTCATTCAATTATCCTGGACTCCATTATTCCCTACAGACCATAATGCACCACAACCATTACTCAGAGTCACGTCACTAAAGGATTATTACAATCCAGTGTTTGTGCCCACCACAGTCTGCAGTGGGTTCATGTGCAGACTGAATATATTCTTTCTGAAAATGAATGTTTTAACATAAAAAAGTTACAATATCCTGAGTACGTTTTTTTTTTTTTTTTGACTGATTTTGTATCAGCCAGCACTCGACCTGGCTGGGAAAAAAATGTTTGCACAAAGATATTGTGTTTTTTTTTTCCTCTTCTGTTGTGTATTGCTGCCGCCTGTGAGTTTAATACATAATATACCGTGACAACTTAAAAATAATACCAGTGTGGAGATTTAGCCAGAGGGAGAAATGTTAAATTCAGCACAGAGCATTTGTACCCTGTTGTTACACCTCCTTAAATTTGTAGAGGTTCTTAAAAAGTGTTTACTTGGCTCGCTGTGCAAAGGTACTTCCTGCCATGACGCTCACAAAGGAACTGTTAGATGATTCATAAATTGGAAACTTGTTCCACTGACACCTCACTCAATACTTTATCGGCCTACATGGGTAACTGCAGGACCTTACAAGCATCACAAATTAATTTGACTCACATTGTGCTTGGTGAGACTGGAAATGTTGCTCACAATCGCCTGAAGCCAGTCCAAACAGTCCTCCGCTGTGGAAAACTGTATAACTCCACTGCACACGCCGTCGACTGCAATTACCTGGAAAGCACTTTTCCTGGACAAAAGGAGGAAATGACAATATATATATATATATATATATATATATATATATATATATATATATATATATATATATATATATATAGATATTGGTGGGTTTGTGATAATAATCTGATAATCAGATCAAACACTCCTGTGTTAATAAGGTCAGCCTTCTGATGTCACACAGAGAGTGTGGAGCAGCAGCGGGCTTCATTAAGAGTTAGGCCACATAATCATCTATACTGCAGTTAAATGAAAATCTATTTATTGGCAGTTGGTTTATTACTTCAAGTGTCCACTATAATATCCTGCAGTAAAGCAGACGCACGGATTGAATGGATGCAACGTTTGTAGCCGGATTGTTCCGTGTGCAGTTCATTATGAGTGCTTTGACGAGACATAAACACAGAGGATCATAATTTGTTCTCAGTTTGAAATGGAGCCATCAACCGATGACGAAGCTCTCTGCTTGGACATGCACCAGCTGAGCTCAGCCAGAACAGATCCCACTGAACCTGCAAAGATGGATCTCCCACAGTTTACCTGCAAACATCAGATCCCGGCATGTACTGTGACAGGCGTGAGTGGAGCAGGGGAATAAGGCGCAGGTCCACCCATCTCTTTTCCCAGCGAAGCCCAGGGGATGTCGGCCAGGACGAACAGGACAACGTGTCCTGTTAGAGCAAAAAATCTGAGTTAGAAAAAAAAGCCTGTCGCTTCACACCCAGCATATTTCAAACACTTGACAACATGGAGGAGCCTGAGCACTGCCACTGCTGCTGCCACTGCTGCTGCAACTGCCACTGCCACTGCTGCAGGTACACACCAGGCAGGCCGAGCCCAAAGTGCAGAGGAAAGCGGATTTGCCCTTCTCAAAAGATAAAGATAGAGCATCCTAGATAACAGCCAGCAGTGACAGTTGCATGGAAACAAGTTTCTGACAGGAAAGATGCTGATGCTGCTGCTGCTGCTGCTGCTACTCTGGATGATGCCGCTGCCGCCACCCTGGGTGGAGAGGCCGCTGCCGGCTGCTGCTGCTGCTGCGTGGTTGTGTGCTTACAAAGTGACGGTGACAGGATCTGTCAGTCACAAGTCGGAGTAATGGAAATAAAGTACCGTGTTGTTGGGATGGTAGTTCAGGTGCAGGCCACTGTCACACAGAGGAGAGGACGTCCCACTACTCTGGTCGCTTGGAATGCCTGAAAGTGCAAACACATTCACAAGGCCCATAAAGTCAGCGTGACACCTCTGTGTATTTCAAGATTTCCAACTGCACTGAAATCACAGCCTGGCAAAATTGTCCTCCTTGTTGCCTCCGGCTTTTTGCCAATTTGTATTCAGTGGACTGCTTGAATGGCCAGTCAACCTGGTCGACGTACGTTTGTAAAAGGATTTTATCGACGCTTTCATGTCTGATGACAGACTGAAGCTTCTCTGTGTAACAGTAATCAGCGGCAACAATGTGACATGTCCATTATTCCAGCTCGAAATTCCATGAAGCCCAAGGATTAACCTTTGTCTTCTTTGAGAAAAAGAACATCTTTATATTGCGCTTGTCATGACAACCAAGTCCAGGGTGAAACGGATGAAATGCTTTTCCTTTATTTTTGGCTTTTCAGGCTCGACTTTGTCACCAGGACAACCACTCCTACATAGAAAGTAATATCAGCTAAAAATACCGGATTCATTACTCGGCACAGCAGTCATTATTCGTCTTAAATGGAGGTAGTGGTGAACATAATATGAAGGGTTCTCACATGTGCAGTCCTCACACAGTGGCAATTTCAAAAACGCTGGAGTCTTCTTTAAGAAGGACACGGTTAGAGTAACTTCCTCTCCAGCATTTCTCAGGACCTGCACCTGAAATACAATTCAATTTTTTTTATTACTTCAAAGGCTGTAAAACACAACTCTAGATTAGATTTTTACATGACAAGACGGATATGTGACCTTTTTAGGACAATGAAATCATCTTTAAGCACTCAAATTTTTTTTCAGAATAAAATGTTTGCAGTAGTGATCAAATACTGCAAACTAGAACTACATGCATTTAATCCCAACATGCAGAGGCTGTAACCAATGACCTTATTTCTGTAAGGCAAGGTTCTCACCAACCTTCCACTGTGTCCTCCAGAGATTATGTCTCCAGCTTGGTTGTTAAAATTATATAAAAACTAAAAAATATTATCATCCAAATTACTGTTTTCCCGCCAGTGTTTTTCAACCTTAGGGTCGCGACCTTATGTGTAAACTTATAGAAACTTACAAAACAAATACTAAAGAAAATATTTTTTCAACTAATTATTATTCTTTTTTAAATGTTGATACCTCACACACAATCTAAAAACAACTCTGTTGTTTCACTTTAATATATATATTATATGAATATAAATTGAGTTCAAACCAAATGCAGCATATAGAAATATCTGTGCTGGTGTGTCTTGATTGACGGCTGCGGTCAAGTGACAGGTGCTAAAACGTCTCTGGGGTCGCCAGAAACCAGATGTCAAAATGGGGTCACAGCCAAAAAGGCTCTTATATCTGCATCATAACTAACAAAACATTTGACGTGTGAAAAAAAAAAACAGTTTGTTGATGAACCCTTTGTTTGTGGTGAAAATTACACATTGAAAAAAAGAAAAAAACTCAAGCCCCTCAGATGGGACACGTTCCAGCTGAGCTCTGCTGGTTTACTCCCTTGGCTTCACTTTGCAACCGTCGCTGGCAGCAGAATGTCTATTTCTCATAAACAGACCGTGGGTGAAACCAAGAAAATTGCTTTACATGTCAAAAAGATAGAAATCGTACAGTGAGATGAGATGCTGAAGGAGCGGCTGCGGTGTAAGGAACAGTGAGATACGAGGCGGCAGCTTACCACTTCCTCATGGCGATAGCTCCTAACGTTGATTCCATTTATCTAGGAACAACAGTAACAGGGTTACTCTCAATAACACTGCAGGCGCCACATCACTGTAGCTCTAAGTTCAACATGATTAATGAAGCAGACATAACCACTGTCATGGCATCGGTGCGGAAGAGAGTCACATGCACAGTGGTAGTGAGAGCTGAGGGATTTGTTTTGGTTTGTAAATGTTTTCTGTTTAACAGAAACAGAAACTTGATGGAAATAGGATGTGGGAGAGGACCCTCCTCCCTGCTCCCCCTATCAATATTCATGGGAAATTGATGTGATAAATGAACAGTTCTGGATGTGACATTTGGCTGCTGCAGTATAGTATAGGTGCATGATTCTTTTCCTGAAAGAATAGCACATTGTTTTGCTGGAGAGAAAGAGCAGTGCAATAATGGAAGTTTTGGCATTTTACCTGAAGGATTCCATCTCCAATAAAAAGCAGTCCAGAGAGTTCAGCTGGAAACCAGGAAAAAAAAAATCACTTCAGTTTAGGAGAAAATAACAACAATAAATGGCAGTGAAAAAAAAATTGGGAAAACTAGAATGCCAGTATACCTTTTTGTTCCTTCGATATCTTTGAAATGACAACGGGGATTTTATGTTCTGCTCCACCCTGAGGAGAGGAATTTAATCAAACTAAATAACAAAGGTATCACCATCACCGAGGGGAGACACAAAGACACCCAGGAGCGGCTCAATTTTCACTGAACCTCTCTGCTAATGCTGTTATTGCACTTTTACAACAAATTGATCAATAGCACTTGTTCAGACTTAATTTAAAGAAGTTGGGCGGAGCGGTTTAATCTGCGGCGATCTAAATTACCTTGATGCTCAGACCGAACCCTCCGATCGTCTGCCTCCGGATCGTTACAGTCCTCTCCTGAAAGACATTCAGTTAGAGTGGACAAATGAGGCGGAGGCTGAACCTGCAGCGCTCTGACAACACAACAGTTGCTCTTAAAAAAATTAGATACAAGACAAATGTTACTCTATGGTAGCAAAATCAACACCCTTGTTTGGTAAACTTCCATTAATTTAGAAAAGTGTGAAACAACATTGACATTTACAATTATTTAATGGTATAAATAACAGAGGGGCTTGGATTTATCACAGTCAATCGTGATTATTCATGGTCTGGAATAATCAAGATTAATCAGCATTTCTAAATATTTTCTGTTCATTGCTGGAACAGAAAGACTAACAAACAGCAGGTGGATGTGTTTCAAACCATTTTTTTTACTCTTTTTTACTTTTTACTTAGATAACCTTTGTCTTTACCACTGTCCGCTCCTGAGACTTATGCCGAGAAAAAGATACAGATCAATTTTGATTTGGAACATGATCGGGTTCTCTGACCTCGAGCTCATCCTAATAGAACCAAAAAACAGAAACGTGTACTATGATCAAATGAGTCAATGTTTCTGCTTTTTTGTAAAAGAAAAAAAAAATCATATTCTGCCGCCAAGAATGAAAAAGATAGATGTTAATGATAGATCAGTTCTCTGGCAGTACGGAGCTTCACTGGTCTCCATATAATTAAGGATCTGCATATACGCAGAGGCTTTGACCATCATTGTGGGGAGAAGTGTTCTCCAGTCGAGATAATGTTATTTTCCACACACTGGAGGCTTTTATTTTAGCAAGACTAAAAAAACCACCTGTCAGGCCTCATTTTCCACAGTTTAGAAAAGCATGGCTTCATAGACAAAGAGTCCATGTGCTCCAGTTGCCCGCCCACAGTCAATATTTTCCCCGTCTGGCACATCATGGAGAGAAGAGGGTGACAACAGCAGCCACTGAGAGTTGAGCAGCCCCAGGCTTTTATACAGTAAGAAAAAATAAAGATATTCTACATCGATTGATGTCTTTGTTGTTGTTCATCTTATAAAACAATCATTGTTAGCTTTTCAGTAAAACTACTGTATATCTATGAAATGCAAACCATGAAATCCAATCAAAAAAGCAAATACTCTGTGTTTCTGTATTTGCATATGCAAACTTTTTTTCATTTGTCTACGAGGAAGCTGATGGCAAATGTCAGACTGACTCCACTTCACACAGTGTTAGGCAAAAATATACAAAGAATCCAAGTCCTGCCAAAAAAGAATCTTGGATATTCTCACACCCTTACAGTTTGACGTTAACCCTCAATAGTTACCAATATTGAAAGTCTACGACTACAACTTTGCAACAGGTCTACACCCAGCCCCATTAGTTTGTTTTCTTTTGCCAAAAACATTTATTTTCACGTCTTAGACAGAGCAAAGAAACAAGTTGTGACCTGGTTTCAAAGACATCCCCCAGAATTCTACTGAGGATCATTTCTTAGATGTAACAAGGACATGACAGAATAAGTAAAAATGACTCCAAGTGTTGTAACAACAAAACTGGCAAAAAAAAAAAAAACTACGTTCGGATTTAATATTTATGTTCCAGATACATAACCCTCGTGAGGTTACAAATATTACAAAAAAAAAACAACAACAAAAAAGGAAATATTGTATTCTATTTTATTCTGTTACAAAAGCTGATAATGTTTTTTTTTTCCACAGCTCAGTTGAAAACAGAAATATTCTGCTTCCTTTCCCAGGTCTAGAAAGTAAGCTCTACTATAAGAAAATGATTTGAAATCACATTTCTCTCCATCATCTATAATAAAAACAATAAAAAAACAAACAGCAGAGATAAAGCGTACCTGACGAATGTCCTCCGTTCGTCCCCATGCTTAAGTAGGACATCACAGCACAAATTTGACTTTTTTTCCCCTCCTTTATTTCTCTGAGCTTAGACATAAAACCGCCTGTGTTCAGCTGGAGTGACATTAAATCCGCAGCTCTCCTGGGCTGACAGTAAACTCCTGGAGAATCATGCAGATCTTACACGTCACACTCTTTTCTTCTCCACAACTATTCTTTGAACACCGTCTTTCTACACCCTGACCTACTTTGTAGAGACGACAAACCGTTGTGACCCAGTTCACAGGGTGACTTGTGTGAATTGCAACAGTTCTGACGACTTCACCAGCTTCCTTAACACCTGGTTTTATTTTGACCAGGGGAGACCAGACACTGGTATTTGATACATTAAATGTCAGTAAATGAATGACGACACCAACAGGTCCAGATCATTTGGGTCAAAGGTCACATCGTGGGCCTCAACTTGTATTTTTTTTTTAGTTTTTCTTTGTTTCTTTTACTGAAACATAATTTTGCTTTTGTGTTTTTGCTAACCTTTTGCAAAAGTTAATTTATTGTGTAACTACTCTGTTGCTATTCTTCTAATATTGGAGCCTGATCATTGGTCTAGTTGTTGCCATTATATTTTTGTTTATTTTTTGTTTTGTGCTACCGATTTTGTGGTCTACAGGATGTTCTCTTTGTGGAACTGTTCCATTTTGATGTTTTCCGAGGTGTTCATTATTTAAACTATTGTTGAATGATAAATTAATTAACTGCTTCCTGTTAGAGATGACAGATACGTGAAATTGCTCAGTGGAGCTGAAAAGTCTGCTTTTTAAAGAGCTTTTGTCTTAACTACAAACACTGTTTCTAAGGACAAATTGTGATGTCTCCATTTGTCCGGGAGGATTTTTGTTGTCTTGCTAAAATGTTATGGAAGTCAAAATGTTAAATGTTATTGAACCAATCATTCTGAGAAAGGTCAGAGGCTGAGAGCTCATCAGATTAGATTATTAGGAACTTTATGAATTCCAATAACAGTTGTCACACAGTGAGAGGTGATTAAACAGAAGCTGGAATTCCATTTCATGAAATTGACCTCTTATTCGGAATACATTAGATCTGTCATTTTTACTGATGGGCCCTCCAACCTCCATGTGTTCGGCCTCACACGGCGGTGATTTCGTCTGATGAGCGTTGAAGTGTGACAAATCCACATTCAGAGGAAATAAAGAGGAGGGCTGTAGTACTTACGCTGGAATAGAAAGGTTCTCCCGACACACAGATGACATCTTGTTCTTGAATGGTCAGAATATCTTTGGCCAGGTGTAGTCGAATATTAAACGGCTCCTCATTACCTTCTTGCATCAAATAAATCCCAGTCTTTGTCTGAGGAGAGTCGGAGAGAAAATGTCATTCATCATCTCTGCGTGACTAAATCAACTGGCCATGAAATGAAATGCCAATGAAAAAACTGGAAATCTGGAGACGAGATCTGTTCTCATCTATCTCATTTTCACAAAGGAAGAAAAAAAAAAACGTACATTTGTGGTAATGGACAGTCATGTTGTACAGAATAGTGCACATTCAAAACTATTTTAAAGATGTATCATTCTCTTGCCTAAATATCTGTTTACGTTCAATTAAACACATCTGTCAAAAACCTGGATGGCTTGTATTTATTCACACTTTAACTGTTTATTTATTTCACCACACATTATATTTATACATTCATTCAAATGCACCGTGATCTAAGCCACTTAAATAAAGTTTAACAGGAACAGCTGGCTTGCAGGTATTCATAAACAAACCTGATCCCCTTTAAAAAAGTTTGTATTTCCCTGTTTTACGGCCAGTGATGAGGATAAATTAAGAAGCTGTTAAATTAAGTGGCTGAACCGAGCGCCGTCTCCACTTTTACAGGTCCCCACTTTATGTGCAGCAGGTGCGAGGACTGAATGTGTTCCCTATGATCCATTTGAAACATGTTAATCCGTATCAAATTTGTATGTGTTGCATATCTTTCATCCTCCCAGACTAATTGCCATCCCCATCCTGTCCTTGACTTTATAAAAAAAGGGTCTTAATAAATTGGAGTGTGTCCACCAGACAACACTAGTGTCAGCATCCCTGTCACCTGGGATACGCTACACATCACTTAACAAGACAGCTGCTGTTCTCACCTAGAGCGTCTCAACTCCGGGTCAGACTTGAATCATAGTCGCTTTACGGAGCGTGTTATCTTTCACCCTTAATGAGGAACGCGATGCAATATGCTTCTGTGTGCAGCTGCAGGATGAGGAATGAAATGATGGGTGAAATGAACTAATGTGCATGTAGGAATCATTAGCCGAGCAAAATGAGGGCACTTGTGCCATAATGGTACATGACCTGGGTCAGTCTGTGGCTCACGTGCATCTGCATTTCTATAAAGCCGCGGCGCATAATAAACACTGCACTTAATTAGTCCCAATGCCCACGTCTCACACCTGTGTTAATTACACTGCCTTGTCCTTCGTCACACTCAGATCATCATCTAAACAACTGTTTTTCTTCTGGTTTTTCATAATCACAATTATTTGAAATCCTGTTTCTGTTAAGGTAAAAATAATTATGGGACCGTCAAAAGTAAACATCCTGAAGCCTGACAGAGAAAACCTTTATCACTGTAAGATATCCAGTAATATTTCGCCGTATGTTTATATCACAATAAATGGATTTATTTAATACAGCTGCTGTTTTCATACGTGCCCATCTCTGCAGTTTCAAAGTAGAATGTTTTCCTGCATGTGATCCATGTTTACACAGTGGAAACAGTTACGACTGAATCAAGGAATAACCACAGTTTATTCCTTGACTTTACTTCCTGCATAAAGAGCTGTTTTAAAGGTCAGAATGAAGAGCAGCTCCAGTGTTGACATGAGCTTCAGCAATTTTACTCATGTTAATATGTACGTAAAGGAGGTTTAAAGTGAATGATGCTGTAGGTTTTACTTATTGGACTATAATATTTAGCTCATCTAAAAATGTAAATAAATAAAACAGAACCTAAATGAATAAAAGCTAATTTACTTGAACCAGTTGTATTACATGGAAGTAAATGGAACTGAAATTAAATAAATTGTATCAATAAATCGAAACAAAAATAAATTAAATAAATAAATAAAGTGCTGTATGTGTTTTCGGATGTTCTCTTCATATTTATAAGTCAGTTTCAGAGGCAATTTAAAATATGCAAATTATTTTTGAAAAGGCACAATATACACTAGTTTTGGCGATTACAGGCAAACAAAATGTAACCAAGCATTGAATTATGTGAACATCACATCACTTTAAACAAACGAGCATTTAAAACGAGCATCAAAATACGTTCTTTTTAAAGAGAACCATATTTCAATGTTTGACTGGATGTGTTGACGACTACAGTCTTTAGATGTAGTTGTGAATGTATTGTAGGCTCTAATCTCACTGTCAGTCTTTCTGCCTTCTTCTCATTCATGGAATATGAAACAGCACTTGGTTTTTTTTTTCCATGGTAATTCTCATTCACACGCCTTCCTGCCTTGCTGTCCAACCATGTCAGCGCGATCTTTTTTAAAAGTGTCATCTCTATCAGTTGTCATTTGCAACATTCACCATCTCATCTGAGCCATCACTCTTCATTCTCTATCAGTGTCTTCAGGTCACCGGCGTCTAGCCTGTGGAAGATTGTCCTTGTTGCTGCTCAGACACAGATTGTGTCCAAGCACCAATTAAACTTTACAGACAATCATCCCACTATTATCGTCACTCTCTAATGAATATATATTCTCCACTCACTTTCATCTCTTCCAAATGAAGGAATATTAATAGCCTCGGAGAGCTGGTCTGTCATCTGGCACTGGTATGACAATGTTTGTATTGAAATTAGAGGGGGCAGGGTGAACTCTCGTCAGACGACGTGTGCGTGCCGCAGAGAGTGCCGCTCTAACCACAGGCTTTCAGAAACACTGCGGTACTTAACGCTGCTTTCTGGTGATTGAAAATGTCATGGCGGCATGAACATAAACACAGCCAGCGACTGGTCAAACTGTTTGAATGATTGAATGGCACCAACCTCTTCATTTGAAGTCTTGAAATCCATGTGCTACTATGCAGTTAGGGATGCTGCAAAAGAAGGGAAAATAGGAACAACACTGAGTTTGGCATTTGCTTAACAACATGAGCGACTCGCTGCAGCACAGCCGCAGTCACATTAGAACACACCGTTATTAAGTTGCCTATTTTCATTAGAGTCCTTGCCTCTCAACAATCGAGAGAAGTTGATGTTGCATTGAAATGCATCCCAACGAACAAACTCTGGGGAATATTGGAGGCCATTAAGAGGTAATGAATAATTCAGGATTTAAGGTGAGAACCCAGGTATCCTTACAAATGTTTCAACATTGAATTCCTGAAATCATCTGTCTGCAGTGTTGTAGAACTGAACAAGTACAAAACTGCAGAGTGAAAGCACTCTTACTTAGAGATACATTTGAAAACTAATTCTAATTTTCAGAATTAATGGGAACATATTCATTCAGTACGTGAAACATATGACGCCTACAACAAAAGCAGAGTTATGCAACGTTCTAGAATATTCCTGGCTCTAGTTTTCACCAGCATGAATGGGAATTGGTTCAAAACGTTGTGATGATCTTAATGAGCGAATGTCGAGTCAGTGTTTACGACTGTGAGATTCTGAAACTGCAGTCAAAAATATTGTAAAAGATTATTACGCTTATGATTACGATTTTCTGGTAGATGCCAGGAGAAGTGTGTGTGTAAAGGCTGAGGGAAGAAACTACTGCTGACTGCGTGTGACCTTCAGGCCATCGGGATGCACTGCATCAGAAAGAGCTGAGAAATAATATATTTTATCTTTAAATTGTTAAAATGTGATTATTAAATAGAACAAAAAATTTAACAAACGTGAACTCTTGGTCTCTGGTGGAATATTGGGTGAGAGCTTTTACTATATAAACTAACCTTATCGAGTTCTAGAAGACTTCTTGTTGATCTTATAAAAAAGTACAAAGTAAAAAATGGCTCCCTGTTGAAATATGAAGGCCGTGCTGTAGAGGTATAGGATACTCAGGCTTACTTCAGCAGAAAGGCCCCCGGCTCTTTGCGTGGCGAGGTCTAGCCATGGAGCGGTGTGTTGATCCTGGATCTGAGCCTTAGCTGAGGCCCTCCCTGAACCATGGCTGTCAGAGTTTGGTGATGGGAGAGGAAGAGGAAGAGAGAGACAGAGGCACAGAGGGGGAGAGAGTGGAGCTGTCACCTCTCTTGACTGGCTGTAGATGTTGCGGGATTGTTCCCAGTGGAGGTGGAGCTGAAGAGCAGAGCGATACTATCATGTAGTGACTGAGGGTTCACTTCTGCTGGTCCCTAATCGTGTCTGTGCTGCAGTAATAGGAGGACGAGACCAAGGCATCTCACTGGAACCAAACCCACCTGCAGACAAAGAAAAAAAAAAACAAACAGAGAAAAATAAATGCCTTTTAATGTGCTGTTTGTCAAATGTTGTGGTGTAAGTGTGATGTCAATAGAACTGCTGCATTTTCGTGTACGTGGGCTGATGAATCAGACATAAACGCTCATCTCTACAGTGTTACCCAAATACACAGCTGCAAAAAACAATTCTAGTTATATCAGTGGTTGCTGGAGGCCCCCCTCTCAAATAAAATATAAATATAAAACCTGTAGATTCAACAGCACAAATGCAAAAAAAAATGCAATTAATTCATGTTCTTCTATTTTCTTGGATTTCTGTATTCTGGCAGCAAATAACTGTTTCAAAGTGTTTATTAAATTCCAGCAGCATACCCTTGAGAAATACGCCTCGTTAGTATGCATTGTTGGCTCCACGCCACCCTGTTGTTGGGCTGCAGTGTTGCTACACTCTGATCATTGTTAGCCGGATTAGAGGAAAACTTGCAGTAAGCACATTTTCAGGCAACAATTAACAAATAAATCATGGACCTATGATTAAAGAGTGAAGCCCTAATAAAACTTGCAAATGTATTCAAGTGGGGGAGATGAGGAGGCACAAGAGCCAGTGAGTCAGAGGAGCTATCTTTAAAGATTTTTTTTCTCCCTTCAAGCACTGACGATTAAACCTCACATCAACTAATAATGTGTTTGGTTTCAATAGATATGGGTTGTTGAGTTCACAGTATCTTAGTGGTTTTTTTTTTATTATTATTATTTCTTTCATATGAAGGCAGTGAATACCATCAATGTCAAGTCAACAAGTCATAATAAACCTATTCATTAAAATATTCAGTGTGTCAGACTATGTAACATCCAGTGATGGAATGGCAGATTTCTTAAGGTTACACCATGCTGGATATTATTGTAGCGTTGGTTAAATTTAGGGCATGTCGCTATAAAGTATATAGCGGGTGCTATAAAGTAAAGGTCTATGTGCTGAGTTCACTGGTAGAGCATTCTTTCAATAAAAGTAGCTTCATTTAACTTAATCAAATCTAAACTAAATGTTAATCACAGCAGACAAGGCTTAGGTAATGTTCCAACAGCCTTGATATGATAGCACTGAGCACTTACTGCTGAACACATCAGAATTAAATCAGCTAATATTTTCATATACAAACCGTACGGTACACCTCACACTTTCTCACCTTAAGTAACTTTTTTCTTTAATTGTCTAGTCTTTTTTTATTGCAGCTATATTTTTTCATATGTTTTTTTAATGATATTGATGTTATTTTCATATGTGAAAAGATCAAACCTTGGAAGCCTTGATACGAGTGTGGAAAAATCAGACTACGTGATTACTCACTCACTACATCAATAACTAATCAATACCGGCTAATTTCAGGTCATTATTTAATAAAATATGAGACTAAGTTTCATTAAATATGAAACTATTTAGAAAATAATGACACAGGAAGCTCGTCCTTTGGAAGCATGGCAATGTCAGCAACATCCGCCAGGCTATTGGATTGGCCATTTAATCCTCCATCTCCTGAATTGATTTCTCTTCACAACATGTTCAACAACATAAAAATCTATTCACAAAAATGTCTACAAATGTTATACATGGTTTTAAGTAAATCTGGTAACTTATTTATACAGAGTAACTCCCAAAAACACGTGAAGCCAAACACTCTTTTGCCAAGGCTTTCCATTGAAGATATAGTTTGCACGAGATAGTTCATACATATTTTAGTTACAGTTTATACCCCAAACAACAATAACTACATTAAGCCTCTTTATTATCCAATTTGTAAAAATTCATGACAGCCAATGGCATGCTTGCAAACTCTCTCCCGGTCTTCAGTACAGAACAGAGGCTCCAGTGGAGTTTACATCAAGGAAAAATTCCTATTCTCTACTTGTATAGTGATGTTTCATAAGAAAATATTCATAAGACCTAATTATAACTGCTGCGGGGGGTCTGGGGGGGGGGCTCTATTTCTATTGTGTTGTATGAAATGATAGCCATAAATGCTATGTTATACCCTTCGGGCTTATTGTGCAAAAAAAAAAAAAAGTATCTTAAAATGAGCTGAGCCCTCATTGTCACAAAAAAGGAAATTAGCACTGGGTAGGGAAAAAAAACAATAATACCCTACAACACAAACTGAAGCATTGCATCATCATGTTTAAATTCATATCTAATGATAAAACATCACAGGTTCGAATCCATCAGGTTCCACTGAGGCACACAGAGCATGGCTCCGTCCACACACACTGCTTCTTCTGTCCACTGCTCACTAAGGTGATGGGTTAAATGCAGAGGTCACATGTTGTTGTATGTAGTGGTGTGCTGTGTCACAACAACAAATAAATCACTTTTACTTCTTTGTACCTGCTCACTGAACGTTAAAGTGCTGAACGCTGGCTCCCTCTTTACAGCAAAAAGGTCACTGGTTCCAGTCCCAGTGGTAACAGAAGGTCGTCATGTCCTCTAGCTTCTTCCCACTGCACAAGAGCATGCAGTAATAGGTTAATTGTTTGTTTTGACATGACTATAGGTGCAAATGTGAGAGTGAATTGCCTTTGTATGTGGCCACGCCCTCACCCAAAGACTGCTGGGATTGGTACTTCACCTGTGACCCTGAAGATGATGGCAGGGTTGAATTTATGAATCAATGAATAAATGTACATAATTAGACTAAACCAGATGCAGTGATCTGCTGGTCATGTGACATGAATTCAATGTAACATACATATATGTATGTCAAGCGTCATCTGACCATCAGTTTCACATTGTTGTATGGAATCAGTGCAAGTAAATGTAACGTACACTTATTCTGCAGCTGCCCATGTATATGATGTAATTCCCTATGAACTGGCAACAGACGGTCAAGTCACACAAAAGTAATCTGCAGCATTAAGCAGAAAAAATATTTGAACTCTTACATGGAAAGAAATTCCAACCACTGGTTCATGAAATATTTTTTCTCTGTAAGAGCTCATTAAAAACAGATTTATGAGCATTCATAGATAAAGTAAGCTGAATATACAATAATGAGAATTATAGTCAATTAAATACACTTTAAATTTTGCAAATTACATATTACTATGTACTGTATATATTACTGCAATCAGTTTACTGTCAGTGAATAGGGAAGTACATACTGTATGAATTGCTGTGTTCAGTTAAAAACAACTCAAAACAACTGTCACGTACAGGGAAAGAACAGGAAGCAGGCAACACCCAAAATGCAGCACTTGAAGAACAGCGATCAAGTGCAGAGGTTTATTCAACAGATTCAAAAGCTCAAACACATCCAACTCACTGAAATCAGGGCCAGGCAGGAACACAAAACACTGAACCACCAGGAGAACAACCAACATGCATGAACACATGCAACATAATGAACAAAGAGCTGACAGAGTGGAGGTGGGAGGTACTCATACCCAGGGCAGTAGGTGACACCAGTGAGACTGATTAACAGGGAACCACAGGACACAGGTGAAGAAAAGGGTTGTCAATGAGAGGAATCCATTCCCAGAAGCTCTGGGGTTCACACAGTTCACCAGTCCATCACAGAACCACGTATGGAGACAAACAACCATCCAAACTTATACTCATATCTATAGGAAGTCTATACAGAAAGACCATCAGTTAACACCAGGGATCAAACTGACGACACAGTCCAGAGCAGTAGTCACCCTTCACTGTTCGGTCACTGAAATATATTTGAACCATTTCATTTCTTTTTTTTGCCAATATGGCGTCTTGTCGCCGTTTCTTTATTCTGGTTTGATTTTAATTCAATTAGAAATTTAGATTCACACATTTTCGTCCCCGTCTCCTCCTACACTGTGAGCTGTCAGCAACGAGCCAAGTCTGTCTAATGGATGTGACAGAAATCCTGTCATCATTTGAGGACCTGCCTTAAAAAAGAATGGGTTCACGTGGCTAGATGATAAATGTGTGTGCAGCTCTGAGATGAGTACTTTGTCTTAGCTGCTACTCTCATCCTGTCAGACATGATCATCTTTTTTCCCCCCAAAGAACCCCAGATTACATAAGTAGAGGCTTTTGTGCCTTTTAAGTTGACTCAGCATAACTCCACTTCTCACCACACTATCAGATATGCTGCGTCCTACCAATCTAGTCCACAAGGTTTTTCTCTGTTTTTCAATAATTCTCCTGTCTTTGACACAATGATGGTAAATGGAGAGAGGGAGAGAGGGAGAGAGGGAGAGAGAGAGAGCCTGGATGCTGTGGAGAAGCTGACCTGACATCTCCATCTCTGAGAGCCGAGGACAGCTGCGACCCATGCACTATGATGAATTGCCGTTTGTGAGTTCAGGTGGAACTGTTGTCTGCAAAGTGCTCCGGCAGATGTAGTTTCACTCTGACAAAATTGAGATATTTTTCTCTGACTGTATGTTGACTCGTCCCACGACCTGGAACATGGAGCACCTCAAAGTGCAGCTTCTTTAATTTGGCCGGGGATGATGGCAACCGTTGTGTTACTCAGATATTAAAGCTTCCCAGAGGACTCCCACTGCTCAGCTTGAACAGCATTACACAAACACAATTTTACAGTCTGCCCGACTCATGTTAGAAAACCTAATGGAATTTCTGCAGCTTATCAAGCCGGCCTCCATAACATAACACTGCACTGTTTGTACACGACCACATATGCTGAGAAATAATGTGTGAAGATCAATAGTGAATCGAAAGGTATTGTGTAAACCTAAATTGCCAATTTATGTTACGTTACGATACAAAATTAAGATGAATCATGCATGGGTGACATTCTTCAGCCTAGATGTTATTTTAAAATGTCCATTTCCTGTTTACTTTTAGGACTATATTAACCTCTTTTCACTATACTTTTCTCACTCTTATTTATCTATTTGTAAATATTGGTTCTCAGTGTATTCTTGCTACTTCTATTCTTTATTTATTTATTTCAGTGTAAATGTTGTTGATCGTAATTAACTTTATCCTCTGATTAAATGTGCATTTGTTGAACCTTGGTCAACCACTTAATTCTCTAGGAGATATTTTACATTCTTGTTATTTCCATATTAGTGTTTTTAAAACCTTATTTGTTTGCTGACATTTTGCTTTTTCTTTAAGGCTAACCTTTATTTATTTTAATGATTGTGAGCCACTTTGGCTTAATTAGAGCTTGGATATATTTTTCTAGTCAAAATAGCTACTTATAGCCTAACATGACATTAGAAATTTGCTACTGCTAGTTTTTTAAAATGTATTTAATTTTTTGCTCTCATTTTTTACTTACCTGCATCAACTTTTTTGTAACATTGTTAGCATTTACTGGCTAACAGCAATGTCCCATAGAGAAATAGTAACTGTAGCCTGGTTTAACACGAAATGTTATTATAGAACTTTGGGCTATTTGGTTATTGGGTTAGTGGTAAATATATTTTTTAAAAACAATTACGTTTGCATACCACTGGATTTGACGTATTGGTACAAGGACAGCAGCTGGCTGTCAGGTCATTTAACACCACTGTACCGTTTTACTTTCTACCACACATTGAAAGTTCCAACCTTAAACTCTCTAGTTTGGTCCAGATTTATATCTGAGCAGAGTTATACCTTTTCTGAACCGGTGCTTAAACCTCAGCGGTGTGTAGGTTCCTCTTCACCTGAGAAAGCGTGACACACTAATAAACTACTCCTCCAACCCCCCGTCTTACTCCTGCTGTGAGGCAACTGTGTGAATGGTTGTGTATTTACTGAGCCGCACCGTGCCCCACTACAGTAGAGTTGCTGCTTCTCCTTTATTTCCTGCACAATGAGCTCAATATTGATTATTTAAGATAAATGTAAGTCTTTTCTCGTCTTTCAACGCCATTTGTCAGAAGTCTTTGAACGCTGCATATGTCGATAGCAGGCAGCTCCAGTGGTGCTGTTTATGACAGATGCTCATGAATGATAGGCAGTGGAGTAAATTAGTGATGGACACATTTATGGACAGCTTCTGCCTTCCTGACTATGATGTGTGCTTTCTGGCAACATAAGAAATCCACTGGATATGAGAGGGGGTGCCAACCTAAATC